AAAGACACAGGTCCCACGACGATTCCGACATCTAGGTATTTGTAAGTTGTAGAAGTAAGAGTAAATCTTCTTCCCAATATATACGAGGTGTATAACGGGGTTTATTACAAGAAGACGCTCTACAGAAGAAAGTATAATATATATGTGTATATATATATGTGTATATATATATATATATATATATATATATATATATATATATAATAAAATCTCTATAGCCATTCGATGTACAATAAAATGTCATAGAATAAATGTCATGATAAAATGTTAACATAATCAAATTTTTTAATATCTTCATTTCATATTCTTGTCATATAATTTTTTTGAAATTTCATAAGATTATCGATGAAGAGACACAAGAAGCTGCTATTGTAGATCCTGTTGATCCAGAAGCTGTAACTGCAGCTGTCCAACAAAATGATGTCAAATTAACAAAGGTTTTAACTACTCATCATCATTGGGATCACGCAGGAGGAAACGCAAAGCTATCTAAAAGCTTCGCCGATCTTGTGATATATGGTGGAGATGACAGAATAGAAGCCATTAATTGTAAAATTATGCACAATGATACATTCAGCATTGGCAATTTATCAGTCAAGTGTCTAGCAACACCTTGTCATACACGTGGACACATTTGTTACTATGTTACAGGAGAAGGACAACATTCACCATCTGTATTCACAGGTAAAGTTAAGTATATAATAGAAGAAAATGTCTAAATATAATAATGTTTAACCCGCTTAAAAGGGGACACGCTGTTTGCTGGAGGCTGTGGAAAATTTTTCGAAGGTTCCGCAGATCAAATGTACAAGGCACTCATCGAAATTCTAGGTTCTTTACCTGAAGAGACAGTAAGTTATACTCGAGTAAAATTGTAATTCAGTTCTCAAACGAATCATTTTTATAATTTACAGAAGGTGTATTGTGGACACGAATATACTATCAACAACCTCAAATTTGGTTTACACGTGGAACCTGAAAATGTAGCAATACAACAAAAATTGGATCAGGTGCGCATTCAACGTGCTGATAATCTTCCAACAGTGCCTAGTACTATTAAAGATGAAAAGCTGACAAATCCATTTATGAGAGTGCACGAACCATCCGTTATGAAACACGTACAGCAAAATGATCCCATTCAGACAATGGCATACTTACGGCGTGCGAAAGATAACTTTAAAGTTTAAATTTTTGATAAAACACTCATTTTTATATTCATCAAATATTCATATGTAGTTGTTAACATAAAGTTTAAATGTAAAAGGTAGATGACCGAAATAAATTTTATTTTTATGTTCGTGTGTATAATGCGTTATGATATCCAATAACAAAATAAATATCCAGTTATATATTATCTTTTTTTCTCATTTATCTGTGGTTCATTCAACTTCCTGAGTTTTAGTTGTCACACTACTATCGCAACCCTTTATCTTTACAATGTAAATTTTTCTGCATAAAAATTTCTTGTTCTTGTTTTTGATATATCTATCAATGTCAATCAAATGTACTTGCACATGCATTATTGATAGATGCACTTGGTGAATCAAAAGAAGATACGTGGAGCTATCTATAAATATTTGTAATTTTTCTTATTTATAATTGCTATTGTACTGTTTTTACAAAAGTATGATTATCCTTATTATCCTTCTTCCACAATTAATATTAATTCCTTTAATGCCAAATATTACGTTATATTTACTGGCAATTGACATGGTGCATCTTCCGTTTTCTTATTATATATTTGCATTTCAGCGACATACTTCTCTTTGGATCTCTCATACATGTCATAATATACCTGAAACAATATGTAATAAATAAGTCAAAACAAAATCATAGTCAATATTAATATAATATATAATATTACATCTTACTTTTTTATCCTCAGAACTGAGAGATTTCCAAGTAGTTGCCAGTTGTCTAGTAAGTTCTTGCTTACTAGGCTCTGGTTCTCCAGCTAAACGTTCCATCACACGAGGTCTTTGCTCTTGACAAAATTGGAAGAAAGGATTAGCAGGTCTTTTTGGTGCATTTGGATCAGCTTTTGTGCTCTTTCTTTTCGTTCCTTTTCTAGGCTTCTCCTCTTTAGCACTATGAGAGGTACCTTTTCCCCCTTTCTCTAATTTTGGAGTTGTTTGAAACACACTGTTTTCTTCAAGTACACCCATTGGAGCTTCCCGCCATCGATCTCCATGTCGATCCAATCGATCAATCAAGAATCTATGAATCAGTATTACGGATGATAAAAATATAAGCAAATTTTAGATATTAAACAATATAACTTATAAAACTAACTTTTTCTCTTTCCTCGTGCGTCGAAGAAGCTTCCTTACTTTCTGGATTCTGTAGACCAACCTCTCATTTTCCTATTGTTTAAAAAATACTATATAGTTTAAAAAAAACTCGATAATGATTTCATTCCTCAAGGAAGAGACTTAACCTGTTGTAAAACTTCACATCTATCCAACAGTAATTGATATTTCCTTTTATAAATATCAACCTCTTCCGGTTCTACGTCATATTCGGAATCATCGGACATTGTAACTTCAAAATCTACAATAAAACAAGTGTGCAAAAAACAGTTATAAAGAAAAACAATTCTTCTAGACCCCCTTGGATTTCCCATAGATATACAATCACGGAATAAGGGACTTCGCACAATAAAAGGAACAGGGAACAGAGAATAAGAATTTCAACCTATCAGAAACGGTGTATTCCACAATATATGATTTCTGATAGGTTGAAATTCTTATTCTCTGTTCTCTATTCCTGTTCCTTTTATTGTGCGGAGCCCCTAAAAAGGAAATCGAACTCGAACACGAAACATATGCTCGAAATATACCTTCGAGAAATCACAGAGCTTATACTACTGGAGGGGAAATGACCTATCCAAGCAATGAGTGAAAAGTGTGAGCAAGATCTGAAAGACAGAAGATGTATGTATTTCTGTTCTGCTCAGTAACTTTTTTTCTTTTTGCGCATGTGCCAAAAGAGAATAGAAGAAGAGAGAAAGATATATTTCTATCTTGCTCAGTAAAGGATTAGGAAGTGTTCGAATCTTGGCGGAAAAGCGGAAACCAATCAGAACTCGCGAAAAGACAGAAGCAGACAAGCGGAATGTACCGCCTACTACTACCGCGAGTTCCGATTGGCTTCCACTTTTCCGTTTTCTGTATGTTTTTCCGTCAAGATGTGGCCCGGCGGCCTTAAGCGGGGAGCACAGATTCTTGCATAACGCATAAGACATAAGAAATCTAACCAATCAGAATTTTTTATGCCATGGAAAGAAAGGAAACGAAGGACTTTGTACATTTTCTTATGCATTACGTATTATGCAAGAGTCTGTGCTCTTCGCTTTAAACACAAGGCACAGGTAATAGGCATAGGTACCGACGAGATACTATTAAAGACCGTCAACTCTGGACAAATTTTCGATAGTATAAAAAGGGCCCCAAAGATCTGAAGGTAGTTGAAAAACGCTGACATTATCGACAATTAATATAAATTTGCTATTTGTTCCGGAATTATCGTTAGTCTTTTCGTATTTTCGGAGCGGACAAATAGCTCGTCGACACAAAGCGATCAAAACAGCGAGCATACCTCGATCCTGTAATCACGCTGTTTGTTGCAAAATGACAAGCGACCCCCCCTTGCGCAGATCGAGAAAATCGTCGATTGCGCACACGCTCCGTGTGAGAATCGACAGTTCGCCATCGAATCCTGATCAATATAGTTAAAATATCGTTCCTCGTTCTTAACGCAGATTCGCGAACAGTTAAGTGCAAACGAACCGACTCGTCGTCGCGTACCGCGAGACAGCCTAGTGCGCGAGACTTACCGGCGTTTACGATAAGATTTGCCCGTCTCGTCACTACTCGCAATAAACACTTTGTCGAACGCGAAGTTATTCATTGTACCAAGTCGAACTACCTGTGTACGCAGCGAACCAAACTCTTTAAGTGCCGCAAACCTTTTACTACGAGCATCGTTTACCGACCGCTTCAAAGAAAACGGAATTTAACTGTATAATAAAACTAACTTATTATTATAAAATCAAGAGAGTCAGCGTTGATTACACGTCGCCTTGGCGAGCGAGCTTTTCTTACACGGCATCAGCCATCCGTCACAAAACACTATTATTAACATAAATATTTGGCTAATACATGATTAAATTCATAATTTTTTATTACATAAATGCTCTATAAATAAATATGCATACTTGCAAAGCTATAATATCCTATATATTGCCGAAAAATTACAGTTTTTTTCTCTGCAGTTGTTATTTCTGTTAATAATAAAACTTTAACGATAACACTAAAATCACATTTTTAATAAAATCAAGTATTATTGAATTCTAAATGCATAAATATGTCTATTAAACTAATAAATCATAAAATTAGTACAATATTATCAGTTTTTAACTCTTTATCACTTTAATTTTTACAAGAACGCGAACTTCTGTAAAAATGTCGGTCTTTAATAGTATCTCGTCGGTGGAACAGGCAACATGGAATAACAAGCCAATCTAATCAAAGCTTTGATATGTTAATTTAATATTACATTTCAGAGTTCTGATTGGATTGGCTTGTTATTCCCTGTTGCCTTTGCATATTGTGTTTAAATTTTAACTTTTCTTCTTTCTGCGCATGTGCCAAAAGAAGATAGAAAAGAATAGAAATACATCTTCTGCCCTTTAGCTATTGCTCATAACTCAACGTCCGTATTCCCCCTCCAATAGTATAAGCTATACGGAAAACACATGAAAAATCGCCATAGAGTATAGAGAATAGAAAGTCGAACTTACATGGATGGGGCCGTGAAGAAGCGTGGTCAAAAGTAATTATCTGAATTAGTTCGATCGAGATGTCGCTTTTGTTCCACCACACCGTTCTCGCAGTTTGCATGGTAGGTTATACTAATTTTACATTAAGAATGCTCTATTCTTTATGCAGTTTTTATGACAATTTATGTCTGTTCTGTTACTGTCAGAGCATGATATCAAAGAATAACGTCTCGAATAAAATTCTTAGGTTACGTGTGTTCGGATGTATGTGCGTAAGCGTGAGAGGAATTTTGCGATTTGAACGCCGCCTACCAATACGAATTTAGAAACCTGATTTTGACCACTATTTCAAAGCCTAATTCGGCCTTCTATTCTCTATACACATTAAAATCGCGGACAATGGAGAAGATGCGATTTTAATGCCATTGCGGGAAAAGTTGGAAGTTATACCACATGATAACGCGTACGGAATACACATGTATGCACGTTTCATTTTTAATACAAAAATTTTAATTTATATAAAATTTATTTTTACTTGATTAAATAGTAAATGTATCAATATTTATTGAAAAATATATACATTTATGCATAGTCATAAATTATTATGAAATTACTATTTTTTAACTTACCAACATCAAAAAACTTTGAAAGAATTAGAAAGAATAAAAACTTTAACGACAACTTTCCGTAGAATATATTCTACGCATGAAAATACACAAATTTACAGAATTACAAAAAAATGGGAGGAAAAATATTTATCAAATCCTCTAAGTTGACAGTTTTCTCTGATAGGAACGCTCAAATTTATTCTTCCATACACGGCTGCGTTCAGAAATTATGCCTAGATAATTCTAGGATGCATTTTTGCTATAATATATGTTACATAATCTATAGCTTAGAGTTATCTGAGCGTAAAACTAGTCACATACATTTTCCGTAACAATAATAATAGTAATGCTTCCAGCACATCAGTTATTTTACGCAACAACTGTCATTATAAACAATATGTATCAATCTTTTTCTTCTTTTTAATTTTACAGATTCATTATATTTGCAAAACGAACTTGATATGGCACTTTTCCTTATGATCTTTTTGCTATCAACGCGAAATAATTTTGATAAATGGAAATAAATCTAAAAAATAAGAGGTACACGTTAGAGAAAAATATCTGTCCCACCAACCATCATTAACGTAACATCAATATGTTAGAATTTTTTACACAACTACGTAATCTTACATACACTTGCATTATATTAAATTTAATATATTGATATTGAGAGAGAAATTATAACATTAATGTTATTTTTGTTGGTGGTTTACGGAAGTTAAATTATAAAATATTTGTATGCACGCTTTGGTACCAACCTCATACAATAAAGCTTTTGAAAGTTTCCAATTAGAAATTCCGGTAGTATCAATTCATTTTTGTCTCGAGTTTGCATCTTGGGCAAATGTTGTGCAGCAATATTCTTCTTTATTAGAGTTTGTGCATCTTGGAGCACCTGGCAGACATTTTATAATATGCACAAAATCCTGTTCAGATATCTAAAATGTAAAAATTCGTTGTTTTATTTCATGTATATATGTACAATAGAGGAAGGTATATATATATTTCCGAAATTAATAATAAGTATTACTTACAAAGATCTTATCAATTGTAAAATTAAGGAGAAAATTGCAGCACAAGTTGACAAGCGTACTGCTTTTGCAGTCATTTAACCTAAACGGCATACTCCCACCATGGCTTTATGGAGTTTGATTACTAGATCCAATCAGAGGAGACCGAATCACGTGATGCAGTTTTGTTCGCTTCCTTTGAGGCTTTCTATGGTGTTCGAATTCCTCACTGGATGAGTAATCGCTGGGTGATTGGGTTAGTGAGCGGAGTCTAGCAAAAAGTACCGGAATGATTTGGGAATCTGAATGCACTCTAAGACAAGAGCATAATATATACAGTAGCGCAATTCTCCTTATTTTATGTCTAAAATGGAGTGCGTTCTCTCTCTCTCTCTCCCCCCCCCTCTCTCTCTCTCTCTCTCTCTCTCTCTCTCTAAATAAGCTCTCAATGTTCTGCTTAAACATTTGTCTTTTAAACATACATGCTATGATTCAGAATAGAAATTTAGAGAGAATTATTACGTGTATTGTCTATTTAGTGAAATGCCTGAGAAACTTTAAGAGACTGATCTAACTTTTGTGAAAAAGTGAACAAAAGTAACTTAGAAAACCAAGCAAGAAAGAATTTTTTTTTTTATTGTATTTTAAACTTATTTTTTGAACATTTATGTAAATTTCTTTTATATCAGGTTTCTTATAATATTTTCATAGCATATTTAATTACATAATATTTCTTTATATAAGTATACATTTTTAAGTTAATTTAATATTTTCCCTAATTTTCTACATTTTTTTTCAATATATTTACAATTTATTTTTATTAATTTTTATAAAGTTTGTACTATTCCAATAGTATATTTATTCGCGTCGCATGCTCTAGTATACTCCAATATGCTCCTATAATAGGTCTTGCTCACTTTAACGTATTTGTTGCAATGCAAATAAATCTAATGAGTTTTGTGAGGAATTTTGACAAAGCAAAAAAAAGACGAAAAAAGAAAAAGTTTAGGTGATAACCGTTGCAATGCTAGGTAACTTACTTATTTCATGCATATGCACTCCATTTTCGTCAACACTAATATCAATGATGCCAACAGAGAGTTGCGCTACTGTATATACTGTGACAAGAGTATCTTACAAATATCGGTTACAACAAATAATAACGTAAATATATCAGATTTATTATGAATTATATATATATAATTATTTATAACTGAAATATATTATAATATATTATACGTATATAATAATGATAAAAGATATAAGATAAATATCTTACCAATATCTAAATTCCGACCTGTAAAACTTAATAGATGATTAAATACTTAGTCTCCTTTGAGTTATGGTTTATATTGTTTACAACACAAGCGTAACTTAAAATTTAAATTTTTGTATAGATGCACGTCAAACATGCTGGGGTAGCACAAGAAGTCTTTAATGCGCTATTACCACCTGTTTCACCCGGCTCAAAGAAGCGGGTGGTTTTTCCATCCTCCCGGGTGAATAGAGTAGGAATCTGAACGTTTTACTTAAGCGCCCAATAAAGGCACTCAAAAGGAATTTGAATGCTTTATGGATGTTTGGGTGCACCCGGGTGGGAAATCTGAACGCAGCCTATTACGAATGACCGAATCGAGCAACATGATTGGTCGAAAATCTACGTTACGTTTACGGTTACTGTTACGGAAAATGTATGTGACTAATTTAATTCCTGAACGCAGCCCAGCGTTTTCCCAATACTGTATCTCGAGTGCACTTTTTTCGGAACCGGCCACTTGAGTTTGGTCTTCTTCTTTTTATTCCGTGATGTATTGTTTGATTTGTCTCTCAAGAGCTGCTCGGAGTCGTTCCGAATAAATCCAGCGTGTTCCTATAATAATGGTGCCTTTTTTGATGCTGACGCTCATTTTCAGCGTCAAAATAGATCATGTGATCAAAATTGATGCTTGATATTTGTTAATTTTTATCACGTGACTTATTTTGACACCGAAAATGAGCGGCGAGCGTCGACATGAAAAGGCACCTTAAGAAAGATCGGACAATGTGGTCACAACTTTTGATTAATTGCTGAAATTCGTTATATGTAATAGCCAACCACTAGTTTCAAATGAGTTGCAATGGCCAATACAACCGCGAGTTACAAGCAAATTGCAAAAAATTACGTATTTGATATTATCCTTTATGTTTTCGTCGTTATCTAGCGTTGGCAGTATAACATTTATACGAGATTTGTTAAAGAATGTGATTTCTAATCATAACCATAAATAAAGAGAAAATTAACAAATTACAATTGCACAATTCGGTCAATTCATCAATTTGACTGGTTTATTCATGAATTATCATCACGTATTGCCTGTTGCGTATTCTAATATTTTTTACGCATACGTTCATACAAGAAAGTAATATCTGTTATTTCTTTCTATCCGTCATTTTTGGTCCACATTCACCAAACTCTGATTATAGGATCTCTAAAGCTGCGATTTCACGTAGATATACATATGCAGATATTTTCTTCTACTCCCATCAATATAGTTGAAATTAGAATGGGAGGAATATCTAGATTTCAATATCTCGTTGCAATCATAGTATAAATACATACAATATGCACACTGAGCATCGGCATCTTTGATGTAATAAGTCCCAGGTTACATGACTCATTACCATGTTGTGGATTGGAAAGGCGCTTATAAATTTGAGTTTTATAAATCTACAGAATGATTTAAAAAAAAAAAGACATAATTCGATCGTATTATGAAAATTATTTATAGCAAGTATATTTTTAAATTAGAATTATATAATAATATAATATTAACAAAATCATTAATATAAAGATAATATTCACATTAATAATAATAATATTAAACAGTAATAAGTAAATTAAAAATAATTAATTAAATACTATATAAAAATTATAATTAAATAATTATGTATGAAAAAATAATATATTGTATAAAAATTGTAACTAAATGTGAAGTTGTAATTTAATAATATACGTACACAAATGCATACTTTATTATGAGAATATTTTATTGTATACAAATATAATAGTCTACACAATACAGCGTCTCTGAAAAAATTTGATTTAATTTTTTAGTAAAACTAAATTTGATTAATTATATTTTATAGGAAGGAAATCAAGCTAACCTAACCTAACCTGCAATTTCAACTTACTGAAGACAACCATATTCCTAGTTAGAAACCGACGCATGCGCACTAAAAATTGGAGACCACATAAAAAGTTCAATGTCCATACTGTATGTACTTATACTACAATATGTCGCAACTATCTCTTACGTTTTCATGGAGCGAAATATCTGGATAATCAGTTTGAAATTTTAAAATATATACTCTTTTAAAATATATACTGGAAAATTAACCTGTGTTGACAATGCTAGATTTGTAATGTATTTCTCAAGTACAAAATTTATGTAGAAAATTTGTGTATACACGGTAAACAATGTTTTGTATTTAGGTTAAAACGAATCCTTTTTAAAATTTTTATGTTGAATTTTTAACATATCTGAGTATTAATTTAACTTAATGTGATTATGTTATCTGAATATTTTGTATTAAATTAAAGTTGAACATTTCTTGTTAAAATAGTAATTTATAAATAAATAAACAAATAACATAAAAATAATATAATTTTAAGACATATAAAATTCTTAGAATAAATGAATAAAATATGTGTGTTAATTTAATATATTATAAATGTTAATTTTACTGAAGAAATATGTTCTGTACAGGTAGTTACATATTTTACTATATATGTAAGTAAAAAAGTACAGATATTTTGTATCATTTTTTCTTTGTAAAAATAAATATCTGTTAATCTACATATCGCATACATGTTAAATATCACAGAAATTTTGCCTAAATTAAAAATGTAAAAAGCATCTAATTTCAGTTAAATTTAACATTATAAATGTATCAATTTAACATAAAATTTGCTTTTAAATTATCAGAGTACTACGCTTCTTGTATTAATTTTTTATATAATATTTGTGTTACTTTCTAACATATAAATTTAAGTAAAACATAAAAATTACAAATGTTAAATTAACATAAAAATTTAAGTAAACCGTTTGGGAAATGTGAAATATGTTAAATTGAATACAAAATTTTTTTATTGTGTATATATTGTGATTAAAATAGATTTTTTTCAGAGATTGAAAAAATTATTATAAACAATTTATTTTGATACTAACATTGATACTAACAGAAGAAAAGTGGATAAAAATCGCTCGAGACATCGAAGAATCGAGAAATTTTATTCATTGTATCGGAACCATAGATGGCAAACATATTTATCATTCAAATATGTAATTGTATAGCTATTTTTTAACTTACATAAATATTAATAGCTATTTTTTAATCAATTTTAACCCTACTGTGGCCAACCAGGTACCCGGGTACCTATGGTCGCACATTTTGTTGAATAACTTTTTTTCTTAAAAATATTGGCTAAAATCGTCTCGGATCCCCATTATTTGACCGATTTCCTATAAAATTATGCATTAGAAAGTTTTTTTTTTATTTATTTTCACAAAAAATTTCGAGTTTCAAAAAAAGTACCTCCCCAGGCCAACCAGGTAAATAAATCAATATCCATCAAATAGATAAAGATAACTAAGGCTACAGCACGTTTTTAACCATAAATTTGTATAGAGGTACCCGGATACCTCGGTTGGCCCTGGTACAAGATTTTTTGGTTGGCCACATAAGGGTTAATAATACAATTTTGAATTGAATAATGCATTACATACAGTATATACATTGTAGTAAAAACAATAATCTATAATGTTTCTGTGTCTGGCTCAAATTACTATCACTACAAAGATGCTCATAGTGTAGTATTGTTGGTAATTTGTGATGCACAATATATTTTTCGTTATGTCGATGTAAAAAATGTGTCATATAATGTAAAAAAATTAGTATTATTAAGTTTTATGGAAACTTCTTCCCACATCTCTTTTCTACGAATTCCGCGCTCTGCGAGTAGAAGTTTAAAATTCCACAGAGGAGGCCTCTGCCGAACTTCTGATAAGCTGCTCCTTCAGACGAATTTTCTCATTCGTCCAGAAAGCGCTACTTTGAGCACCTTCATCGTGGCCGCAATTATCGGCTAACACATGCTCGGCCCCGTCAATCAAACTTCTATGTAGAATATTACAGTTATCTGTAAATAAGAATAAAGATAGCAGTTAAATAAAATTTTAATTTTCATTCAATTCCATACTTTTTATTATTCACTACTTACCGTTTTTTGCATAAA